CTAAGGTGGAACTTTGTTTGTGTGGTACAGTCTGTTAACTCACAGATGACATATTTGCTGTCTTGTAGTATTTTGCACTGTTGGCTACATCTGGCCTGTGTGCCAGTACATCTGTATGGTGAAAGCGGTATATGAGACTGTTTCACTGCTATTCATAAGATCACCTTATGAATGTATTAGAAATGACTCTTTAACAATCTGTGATAGGCAGACAACACAACCTTGCTTGCTGAAAGTTATGATGACTTGAAGCACTTATGGATGAAGATTAAAGACTACAGTCTATAGTTTGGATTATACCTGAATATAAAGAAAACGAAAATTGTCACAACTGGACCAATAAGCAGCATCATGATTTCATATGACTTGGTTCCAAAATCAACACCCATGGAACGAGCAGTCAGAGAAATCAGATGATGTATTGCACTGGGCAAATCCTGCTGCGAAAGACCTATTTAAAGTGCTGAAGAGCAAAGATGTCTCTTCGAAGACTAAGGTGTGCCTAACCCAAGCCATGGTATTTTCAATTGCCTCATATGCATGTGAGAGCTGGACAGTGAATAAGGAAGACTGAAGAAGAGTTGATGCTTTTGAGTTGTGGTGCTGGCAAAGAATACTGAAGGTCCCATGGACTGTCAGAAGAACTACAGATCTGTCCTGGAAGTACAGCTGGAATGTTCCTTAGAAGCAAGAATGGCCAGACTTGGTCTCACCTACTTGGGTCATGTTGTCAGAAGGGACCACTCCCTGCAGAAGGATGATAATCACGCTTGGTAAAGAAGAGTCAGTGAAAAAGGGGAAGGAAGGTCCTCAACGAGATGGATTGATACAGTGGCTGCAACGATGGGCTTAGGTATAGCAGGGATTGTGAGGCTGGCACAGGACCGTTCTGTTGTACATAGGGTCATTCTGAGTCAGCTGACTTGGTGGCACCTAACTACAACATGCGGTAAAAATGCCCATTTGTCATTTCTGTCCTGAGTGTGCCATTTTACAATCTCTTGAACTCATCTGCTTCAAGTGCTCTGCAGATTATTCTGTCTCACAGATTTACTGAAAAGGGTGGGAATACCGATACAAAGCTGTACTCAAAACTATTCCAACAGGGATCTCTAGAGTGGCTTTATCTATCTGGGGAGCTGGGTAAGGTGGTGGTGCATGGAACCTCGTTTCTCCTCCTTCCTATTTCCTCCTCTCAAAATTGAATGCACGTGCCTAAAAGAACAAGGTTTCAGAGAAATGAAATGAGAGAATACCTAAATGAAGAGGTCGTAGTCCACAGCCCTGAAACATCAGCCTGAGCTAGTAACAGTATCTCCCATGGAATTCACAGTTGCTGTCTCTTCTTCAGAAGTGAAATATTACTTACCTTGAATTGATACAGTGACTTTAACTCCTGAGAACTGCTAAGGATGGAATAGTTGATTCTCCCAGGACAGAGTTTGTATCTTCTTCCAGTTAACTTTATGTCCAACCCCATGCTTTCCTTAGCAACTTGAAGATCATGTTCATCTGTTTTCCCCTATTTTTAGGGAAAACCTGTCACACTGTCTGAAGTGTGAATAGCTGAAATTCGGTATCCTCTCTGACCCCTGCTGCCAATTGTGGACATTTATCCTCTCTGACCCCTGCTGCTAATTGTGGACATTGCAAAGGTGTGTTAACCCCTCTGGACCCTTAGAGAGCCCAGGAGCCTAAAGTTAAAAGTGACCCACAGGTGATTTCAGATACAGAGCAAGAGGTGACTGGAATAGTTGGGACTGGGGGAGTTGAAGCAGCCTAGGAACCAGGGTCTCCTTGGGATGGCAGCTTTGTTTCAAAGCCCCTGACCTAAGTGACATTGAAAACAGTCTATATATGTTAAAGTAGCTTTTCTAACCTTAAAGAAAAGCCAGTTCAGTTTTTTTATATTATAAACTAGTTTTGGGTCTTAAGTTATACTTTGATAGGCAAGTGAGAGTTTAACATGACCTTTTTATTCTTGCCCCTTCTATGCTGTTTGTTTTCCTAGAAATGGCTTTGGAAAGAATGTAAAGAACCATTCTGCTTCTCTGTACTTATGGCCTTCTAGCCAGGCTTACCGTACACTAAACAGAGCTGTGTTAGCAGTGCTTCTGAGCCCGTTGGGGTCTCACAGCCAAAAGGAACATGAGACCAGGGGAACCATTCAAACTTAAAGCTCGGCAAGAAAATCCAGCTATAGGGCCTCTTATAAAAGGGGGAAACACCTAATTTGGGAGACCTGGGAAGGTGCTTCTAGCTTGCTGGGCTGTACCCTCATATCTATTGAGCACAGGAGGGCAGGGGAACAGCTGCAGTAGGGAGGGGTCACACAAGTCGGCTAGTTGTTTGGAAATATGCTGGGGACTGTAAGGGAGTGGGTAGGGGGGATATGCTGTCCTATAACGTGTCATAAGCCAGAATTGGTTCTTGGCTGGCAGTAAGATGGGACTGGTATGGTATTTTATGTTGGGTTTGGTATTGTAAGCTCAAGTCACCCTCTGGCCTCATAAGAATGTACTGGTGTGATTTGGGAGAGTTTTGAGTTTCTTCTTTGAAGTCAGTTTTCTTAATAAAGGCTTGTCTGATTTTAACAATGTTACCAAAGCCCTCTTCTGTATTTTCACATACACAGGGTGCATTGTTCATGTACTCTGTGTACTCTGAACAAGACACCAGATCAGATGCAGCAACCCAGTCTTGCATAAGCCCTGGTTAGAATGTAGTGTTTTGAGAGAACTAGGACAGTAGCCAGAGTGGAGTTCTTTAAAATGGGACAGATGTCAAGGGAATGGCTGGTATCCTCCCAAAAAGAAGCAAGTCTGGCCTTACAACTTCCAGAGGTCTCCTTCTGAATAGACCCTGTTCTAGAAGACAGCGTCATTAGATATTTTAAAAATATAAAATAAAAAATATATAACTTGAAGTGAAAATTATAATGTTGTAAGGATCCTTGTTGGCCCAGTGGCCAAATGTCCATTGGAACATTAGATTGGCCTACTGAGGTGGCTTTAGGACATCTACATTCCTGACAGGTCTCATGAAGTCAATGTATACTTTCACATGTATAAAAACTAGGTTGTAGATGTATCATTCAAATTTAAGAGCTCTTGTATGGAAAACACTTTAAGTGTCCCGAGACAAACACAGCTTTTAGGGGAAAGAGTGCTATTAAAATATTATTCCTTTGGATTTTACTATATTGCCAAGTTATATAAGACTTGTTTACCCTTATTTTCCTTAAAATGGGATATATTTGTTTTTTCTCTGTGCTCAGGAAAGTAAAGTCTAGTGGTCATATGCACTTAGTCCAGGTCTGGGGGTGGCAGCGTCCAACTTTTAAATTCTCATAAGAGCACTGGGGAGCAGGCTGGCGTGCATTGATTTTTTTGAATGGGAACTTAGGCCCCAAGTAGGCCCAAATCTCAGCACTGGGGCAAGGCAAAGCCCCTTTAGGGGCAGAGCTAACAAGGGTAATCCCTGGATTCTGCAGAGTAGAAGTTTTGGAAATGTGGGAACATTTTGGAAGTTTTGGAAAAATACTAGGGAACAAGTCCCAAGTTTTGTGGCTATAGAGAAGAGTGTTATGCTTCTGTGACTGAAACAGCTTCAGGGGCCAGGCTTTGCAAAGGAAACCCAGTAAAAAGTATCTTTATTCTCACATTTTAAAAAAGTTTGATTCTGTGTTGATGCATTAACAGTATAAAAATATTATGAACGCTACAATTTTTTTTTTTAAACTCTCAAGACTTCTTACAGTGCTATACTAGAAGATGTAATCTTTGGATTCTGAGTAACCAGTGACTAAAGTAGGAACTAAAAGCTTTTCCTTAAGGGATGTGTAGGGAAACATGGGCAGCCCTTTTTCTTTGGCTTCAGGCTATGTACAGTGAAAAGGATGCAAAAAAACAAAATTAAATTAAAAATTCTAAAAAGACTTGTTTTTCAAGGCTCAGGGTCAAAGCTTGGCTCAGAAATGGGTTAAAGTTGGCAGTGGTGAAAACCCACTGGCCACCACTAGAGATCTTCTGGGCTCTTTGCTTTGGTTGTAATGGTCCTCCATTTGCCCCTGCCCTTCCAGTAGCTCTGTAGGGAAACTGAAGCTGGCCTACTTTGATGATGGAAGATAGGCACTGGTTCATGTGAGGTGTCTGGGGTTTGCCTTTTCTCACAACTGCTCAAGAGCTAGATAGACATGGATGAGCTGGAAAAAGATCTGTGAAAAAAGTTCTCTCAACAGGCAGGAACGCACACTAGATTTGGGTTGTAACTTATTTGAACTATTGACCACAGCCACTAGTGACTGGCTGGGGGCTTCTTAGGCAGGTAAACTTCGGCATGTAATCTGAACTAGAGCCAGATACCACCCACAATCCACACTTGCCTGACAGGGTAGTGTCAGATTATCCCTGTTGCCTAGGTGATAGGCCTAGACTTAACCTATTCCATTCCCTCCTGAGCTGCGTGCTCCTCTTATAAACTCTTGAGGACAGTTAAGAGGCTTCCTCTGATCTAGCTTATGAGTAGCAGCTGGTTTTCTGAAACAGGGCTTCTGCAGTCCTTAAGAGAGACGTGTTATCATCTTCAACTCTGTGGTTCTGATCATGCTTGCATGTTGTTCAATAAACCAACTTGTTCTTGGTCCGTAGAGTGTCTGGTATGGGGAGGGCGTGGTGGTGGTGGGGATGCAGGGTAGGGAGGGCAGCTGGGCTCATTCTAGCCCATCTCTCACCTGTAGCAGAAAAGCAAGGGAGGCAGGGGCATCTGGCTAGCAAGACAAATGGTATAAAAAGCAGGCTGTCACAGGCACAAGGGATGCCCTTAATGGATAGCACATTAGCACAGATCTGATCCCCATCACTCTGAGCAGTGTGAATTGATGGCCCCTGATTCAGGCAGAAGTTGTGCAGCCTCTGAAGTCTCCAGGGCTTGAACCCTGAGAGGAAGTCAACAGGGCCCCTGACCGGTTTCCATGTGCTTTAGGGCTCTGTCGCCTCCTCTCAGGGGGTGGGCACCTGGAGGAGGCCAAGTGCCCTGGGCCTGCTAGGCTGCCTGTCTCTGAGATTCCTGTTACTGTACCTGTGTACTCTTCAGGGTGCTGTGGGGGCACTGTGGGGGCCCAGTGGGCCGGGAGGCTGAGAGCAGCGGAGAGACTTGGTGATGTAGGCGCCGGCTCCGCAGGGCTAGCAAGCAGTTCTGTGGGGAAGTGGGGCAGCAGGAGGTATGAGGGCGAGTCCTGGGGGGCTGGGGACCTGGGGCAGCCTAGAGCACTGTCATCGGAAGGAACTGGGCTGGGGCAGCGGCCTTCTCCGGGTAAGTACCGAATGCATTTCTTTTTCCTCCTAGGAATAGTGAAGAGAGTTATCTGTAAACAGAGGGTGAATTCATAGTCATACACCACAACCAGAAAATGCTGTCCATGCACAGGCCTACCTGGCCTCTCATCCCCTCTCCCAACGACTGTGGTGACATGCCTGTGCCTTCAGACATGAATCAGCACTGTAACTCTGCTATGCCTGGCCTCTGGCACCTAGCACAACCACAAGGTGGCACATAAGGATCTTTTGTAACCAGGCTTGTGGGCTGCCTCTGGTTTTCCAGGGAGCCATGCCCTAATTTGGGCCTTGGAGCCTCGAGTTCACATGCTCAGATCTACATTAAGGCAAGGAGCTGCAATGGCTGTAGCTTTTTGGGCTGATCAATCCCAGTCTTCAGAGCTGGGCTGTGGGCAGAAGTAGTAGTAGAAATGAACTATGACTTTTCTTACCTGCTCATACCACTCTAAAGCTCACTAGACCACAGAATGCATCTGAGTAGTATGGTGTGGCCTGGAGCCCTCTGGCTCTTGGATACAAACTGTCCTCAGAAGACAGGTTGCCTCTCCTCACACATACATATACATCGAATTCCTCTGCCCTTCAGTAGGGAGCATGGTGGGTACTCAAGGACTAGGCAGGTATTCCTTAGAGCCAGTGATCTTACTGCCTACGATACTCAGCACTAACAGGCCTGGCTTGAACCTAAAGTAAGCAACTTTAGCCACTTGGTGAGTGTATCTTTTCACACATACAAGTGTTGTCCTCTTATAGAGTGAAACACAGCCTTAGTGCCACAAAGGCTGAGTATGGCCATTTGGCTAGCACAGCCCAGAGGTATATCTGCTCCCCTCCAACTTCTTGAGCCCTCTTGTATGGTATTCTCAGTAGGTAAAAGAGAATGAGTCACATGACCACCAACCAGGTTGTTTGCAACTATAGTCACCTGTTCTCAGATTTAAGGGCTCAGAGCTCAGGATTCTACAGGCAGGGCTCCCAACTTGGGGGAAATACTGAGAGGAGGGTATGCCATGATAAGTTTGAGGCCCAGGAGCAGGGATGTACAGACCACCTGAGTGATGTTGGAGAGATTTTGTCTATTGGGGACCTGCTGGCCTGGCTTAGGGGACCCTAGCCAGCAGAGCCACCTTCTGGAGTCTGCCTTCCCTTTCTCTGTGTCCACAGTATCTTGGGAGGAGAGATTTTGTTCTGTTCTGGAGCGTTCTTTTTCTCCCCTTCCATTCCTCCTCCTCCTTAGACCCAAGTGTTCTTATAAGCTGTGTTCCGTCCCATTCCCATTCTCAAAGAGGCGTGGGTTCCCCAATCTGCTGGGTACGCTAGCGGGTTGGAGAACTGAGAGAGGGCTGCAGGCCCAGCAGAACCTGTGCAGAGTCAGGGAAGCGGCTTGAAGCAAGAGGGAGAGGGCGGTGGGGACAAACCCACCTGCACGGACCACACCAATCCGTCTGCTGGTTGAGGCCAAAGCGGGCACGGCATTTCTTAGGCGAGCCAGGGTCTGCTCAAACATGCCAGAGGGGCAGAGCAGGGTAGAGGGTGTGCAGGCAGGCAGCAGGGCAGAGCAGGGCCCAGAAAGAAGAGTCAACATCAGTGTTAGCCAGTCATAGACACCCCACAGCCCCCACAGGCAGAGTAGGCCTCGCCATGGCACAGCCTGCCCCAGTGGGAACCCTAGGGCCAGAGCAAGGTGTCATCAGGGACGGTATCTCCAGCTGGGCGGGAGAGGCAACTGGAAGAACAGTGGTAGTGGTGGTGGTGGTGGTAGAGGTGGTGGTAGAGGTTGGGGGAGGTTGGCTGTGCAGGCTGACTCCTCTAGAGAGGCTTGTGGGGCTCCTTTGCAGCAGAGTCCAAGAAGACCCTTGGGATCCAGTCTTTTCTGCCCACCCCCTCCTCAACTCCTTGTCCATTTTCTCCAGTTTTTCTTCATTCTTGCCAGTGCCCGATTTGCCTGATCCACAGCCCTCATGCCATGGTTTGTGCCCTGTTCCACATACTTTTCCAGATGGAAAGACCCATTCCTCAGCCTCTGAGAAAAGGCTGAGGACTCTGCCCTGCTTGCCCCACTCCCCCATGTCCCAGCCTCCAGCTTCCCTGTGTGGGGACAACATAGCTGGAAAAGCTGTGGGTGTAGAATCTGCATGATCAGAGTTGGGGGAAAAAATTTACCCATAGGAAGGAGGCCTGCAGTGGGGTGTGGTCTCCCAGGGCTCACTACATGGAGCACTCTGCACTACCATGAAAAATTATGGATAGACAAACTGCTCAGCACTAGCCAACAGGCAGTGTAATTGCTGAGCCCAGACCCAGGGCCTGACTCGGCCTTCACCCAGACGCCTGCTGCCCATCTCAGCAGAAGTAACCAGGATTCACTGTTTGGGATACACATTGAACTACGCTTAGTCCATTCCACACTAGCATCTCTAGGAGAGACTTGTGGGGGCAGGCAGTGGAAGGGAGTAGGGTGGGGTACAGTGGGGTGTATACCACTGCCACATGAACTAGCTTCTACTCATCTTTCCTGCATTTACGTATAGCTATTCCTTGTACAGATTTGACTTGTGAGATGTAGGCCTTATTTTGTTGAAGGATCCTGACTGGGTATACTGCTCCTCCCTCTGGACCAGGGCAGAAATGCTCTTGAAATAGGCCCTTGGAAATGAGCCTAGACTACTTCTGAGGGAAGGCCTCACCTGTGTTGGATTCTTGGTGCTTTTCCCTTGAGCGCCTCTTCTTCTTTCCCTGCAGGGAACAAAGGGAGAGAGACTCAGATCTGGAAGGCAGTTGCTGTGACCCCAGTGAGGGAGGGTCTGAGACAGCTGCAGCCTCCTGCCTAACCCACTTGATCCCCCGGGATTCTTTCTGTTCCTACCTTGCGGCCCTGGTGTTTACTGATTGCAATTGTTGCTAGCCTACTATGGGTGCCTTTGGGAGCTCCTCTTCTCTTTCTCCCTTATGAATTCCAGCCCTTTCCTCCCCTTCTGCCCATCCAGTCAAAAATTGGGCAACAGTCCCATGTGTAGGTGCATTCTAGAATGGGGAGCAGAATGTGGGTTTGCTTTAGGGGCAGTCCACCTGGGTTGGCATCCTCTGAGCTAGGCAGATGTTATGGATTGAATTGTGCCATCCAAAAATATGTATTGGAATTGTAACCCCTACTATACCTGTGCATATAACATAATGTAATCACCTTCCATAATGCAGTCAGTTAAGGTCATACAGTGTATGGTGGATCCTATTCCTAATCACTTCTGTGTTATACAAAGAGCAGCACAGACACAGAGACATGCATGCACAAGCAGGGAAGACAGATGGCATCTGACTATGGAGGCAAATGAATCTGTTACCCTCGAACTCCAAGGACTGCCTCCTAAAGCCACACTCTGAATTCAGCAGTGCCACTGAAGGTCAGTCAAACTCATTCCCAGAGAGTTGCCAGCTGGGAGGTGCAGCTAGGCCTTGCATTCTGCTCATCCTCCTAAAGGCATCCTAATGTCCAGGCTGAAATTAGGGCTGGAGCTGCTCCTATCCCTCTTACCCTCCTAGCATCCATACTCAGTTGCTCCTTTCCCAATTGACTATCTCATTCCTAAGATGCTAATTAACATGTCCTGCACTGTGGTATTTCTGTTAACAGCAGTATTTAGATAACTAAGACACCAGGGAAGGCTTTGGACCCTCCATTCTACCACCTCTTTCCTCATCTGTGCCCTTCAGGACAGTTGTCTTGCGTTGTCTGCTGAGATGGTGACTAGGGCGTAGCATTTTGAAGGTTCCCCTACCCACCCTTGCTATGTGACTGGCCACTCACATAGTTGTCTCGCGCCGACCAGCCTGGGTAGAGTTGCATGTGCAGCTGCCTCTCTTTGCGGGCTAGCTCATAATACTTGGCTTGCTCTTCCCGTGAAAGTGCGTGCCACTGCAATGGGTTGGGGATGGAGATTGAACATGTCAGGAGTCAGCAGGCTGTGGCAAGGTGAGGGTAGTCAGGGGCCGCCCCCACCTGCCTACGGTCTCACCCTGCGTCCCAGGATCTGGTTGATGGCAGCACTTTCCTTGAGTGTGCATTCTGCAATGACCTTGGCCCTCATCTCCTTCATGTACAGCATAAAGGCGTTGAGTGGCTTCTTGATGGTTGGCTTCTTGACCTCCTTCTCCACCTTGGCCTCTGCCTGGGTCTTCCTGAGAAGCACATAGCCAGATCACAGTCCCCAAAGTGTTTACCTCATGCTACTCTCCCCCTCCTCTAATGTGTGTCCAGTGTGTCTGTGAGTGCAAGGGTATTAGGATTTTTGTAAATGGATTCTCTTTTTAGCTGCCCCAAAGGGGATGAGCAGAGAGCTAAGTAACTGTTCCTTACAGGAATATTGTAGGGAAATGGAAAATTCATGTGTAAGACTTCTCAGCTCCCTCTCCTCTTGGCTTAAACTAAACACTTGTTCTGACCCACCCATCTGTCTTCTTCTGCTTCTGAGGATCAAAAGACAGAGTGGTTAGTGGCCAGTGCTCAGGAACTCTTGGGTTTTAACTAAAGAAGGCTTGACCAGAGGCTTCTTTCCTGGTAATCTCTGAAGCTCTCAGGCAGCAGGCCTTGGGCCTGGTGGGAGGAATGTGTATCCTGGCTGGAATTGGGGGTGGAGAAAGGCCTTGATGAATAGATGGGAGTCAGGTCTATTTACTTGCCCGTCCTCTACCCCTCCACCCATTGTGTGCCTTCTCACTCACAGGCTGCGGTCATAGGGCTGCAGCTCCTGCTTCCCTGAGGGGGGCACAATGGCCGGGTGGGGGATGGCTGCGGGGTGGCCAGGTACGCCAGAGCCTAGCATCAGGGATGGGTGGGTGAACCTAGAGGCAAAAGGAGACAGGTGTGTTAGGTGTGTTAGGGCCAGACCTGTGGACATACATGGAGGCTCTAGCATGGTACACGAGGACATAGGTAAACAGATACCCTCTCCCCACTGGCCTGGGTACAAGTACACAGATACATACAAATACCCACTCCAAACATACAACATAGACACATTGCAAAAATCCATATATGTGCCATTCAGGTGCTTACTAAATAAGCTGTTTGCTTCTGAATTGTTACTTCTCACCTGTCCCTAGCTCACCCTCATAAGCTTGTGGCTGCCCCGTGGGCCTCCTCTCTCCTACTTGCTTACTCCAGCCTGTCTCCACACAACAGCCAGAGTGACCTTTTTAAGAAGCGTGAATGCTTATGGTCAGTTCCTACTCGTATTCCCCCAACTGCCCAGGCTTCTCTCCTTGGGGCTTGTACAACCCTGCATGACCATCCCTCCGACATCTCTCACCCCATCTTTTCTCCCTGCTCCCCATTACTCCCCACCACCTAGCCAGCCCAGATTACTACTTGTTGCCTTTGTTCCCCTCTCCCAGGAGAAGTCACCCTTTTCATGAAGGTCTCTCTGACCCATGAGGCCTGGTTTGGGGTCTCCTTGAGGCTTCCCCATCACCCAGATGGCCCCACTCAACTGCTGTACATGTATTCATGTGCTGTCCCTGGTGCTCTGGGTGACTCTGTTGGATAGAATAGCCTGGACTTAGGCCTCTCTTGTGTACCCACTGGCTTTGCCTTCAGGCACAGGGCAGCAGGGGGTACTGCAGAATAACACACGGACAGATGGACAAACAACTAGCACAGGGCAAGCAGTGGGCTGGGCATGGCCTCGTGTGGGCACTGAAGCCTGGGCAACAGAAGCAGGAGCCTCGCTGCAGGGTAGGGGACTCACCTGGGGTAGGGGGCACCAGGGGCTGCAGTGGGGGCGGGAAAGTGCTGTCTATATCCGCAGGAAGGGGACAAGGGGTAGAGAGGAGGGCTGGGCCTGTGATTGGGAGAGATAGCTGTTAGAGGTCTAGGTGATGGCCAAACATGGGGAAGGACTTCCCCATCTTGCTCTGGCCTGACCCAATGTGAGGTTGATTGCCCTTGGCTTGGATCACCCCAGGGATGGAGCTCAGCCCCTCTGAAGCCAAGGCCATGTGTGCTGCAAGTATCTGCCACTAGGGGGCAACCTGTGCTGCATCTGTTTTGTTTAGCGGGCTTGTACTGAGGTTTAAGGGATGGACAAAGGCAGCTTCCCCTCAGGACCAGTTTAGCCAGGCCCCCAGGGCCCCTCCAGCCTTGTGTCTCCCCTTCACTGTTCTTTAGCTCCATGGGGCAGCCTCTTGAAGTCTCTCTGTAAATACAGACTTATTATTGCTTTAGGGCCCTCACACCCACTGTTCACTTTGTCTAGATTACTCTTCATCCCCACGTTGCCTGTTCAACTAGTCATCCTTCATGTTTTGGCTAAATAACCCTTCCTCCTGAGAGACCTGAGATCCCCAGCTGGGTAAGCCACCTCTCTGGGCCCCTATAGTCCCCAAAGCACTGATCAGAATACTCTCTAATTGACTGGCCTCTTGCCTGGGTCATGCACTAGGTGGACTGAGTTTTGAGAGGGCAGGGACCTAAGGATCAGTCAGCTTCATCAGGGCTCAATGCAGAAATGGCCAACCCCCACTTCTCTCTGGGCAGCCAAATACCATTCATCCACCTCTGTGCCTTGGGTTAACATCTCGTAAGTTCACATCTCTTGGTTTTTAGAGATACTGGCCTAGGGATTACTTTTAAGAGGCTGGTGCAGATTTGCTTCCATAAGACCCTGGCCTGGCCTAGTCAGACTGAGCTACCCAAGGTAGTACTGATTTATATTCAGAATGGGGCTTTGTCTAAGGAGAATCTAAAAACAGGAGTGAGCTGAACATGGGTAGGTGAGTGGAAAAGGACAGGAGATCCCAAGTTGTATATGGACTGCTCTGTGTTCCTGGGAAGTCAAGCTTTGCTACTGGGTAACTACCACAGCCCAGAAAGCTTGGGTCATACTCCCACTAATAAGCAAAGGGCCAAGGAGCCTGCCCAGGTTTGGCTTTAGCTGAGGACAGACTCTTTGGTGTAGTCAGGCCTGCTGAATTGGGCTGGGGGTAGGGGTTCAGGCTGGTTTTCCTGGCTCAGAGTCAATATACTGTAAGACAGGCCTCTAAGTGGGCAATGAGCCCCACCTTGCCCCTCCAGCAGCTCAGCCAAGGAAGGGACCAATCAATAGCAGTCTTTTCTGACTCATAGCAACCCTATGTACCACAGAAGGAGACACTGCCAGGTCTTGCACCATTCTCAATCGTTGCCATGCTTTAGCCCCTTGTCATAGCCACTATGCCAATCCATCTCATTAAGGATCTTCCCTTTTTTCTCTGGCCCTCTACTTTACTCGGCATGATATCCTTCTTCAAACACTGATCCCTTCTGATAACATGACAAAAGTACTAGAGACAAAGTCTGGCCGGTCTTGCTTCTAAGGAGCATTCCGGCTGTACTTCCTCCAAGATAGATTTGTACATTCTTCTAGAAGTCCATCATGTTCCATTCAGTATTCTTCCCCAGCACCACAATTCAAATGCATCCATTCGTCTGTGGTCTTCCTTATATTGTCCAGCTTGCCATGTGAAAGCAGCAGGTAATGGGAAGTATTTCCCTGCCCACCAGCCAGCTAAGATGCAGTAGCCTCTGGTGTCCATCATTTCTTTCTCACATACTCCAATGGCTCTAGGAGCTCCTAAGTAGCCCAGAGGTCTCCCATCCACAGCAAGCAGGACCCAGGTCTACTGCCTTCCCAAATAAAGCATATCAAGCTACCTAGGTAATACCCATAGGCCAAGTGGCCTCAAGAAGCCCCACCCAGAGCCAGCTGGGGATAGAGCTGCAGGCCAGCCCCTGGTGCCCATACCAAGCTGGCCACAGGGTACTCCACACAGGATGGAGGAAGGGAATGGAAGGGCAGGTATGGGTCAGACCAGCACATGGTGCCCCCTTTCCCACTGGGCCCACACTCACCAGCTCACAGTGTGGGGAAGCTGTCCCATGCTCCCTGAGGTCAGAGAGTAGAAGCCAGAGAGGTCAGGGGTCTGCAAGGGCCTGTGAACTGCAGTGGAGAGGGGCTGAGTAAATGGGCTAGGCTGACCCTTGGGCCACTCCAGCCAGTTAATCCATCCTAGAACCTTGTACAGGGCCTCTGACATCCCATTTCCCTCTACTAGAGGGCTAGACATGCTTAGTTTGCTCAGGACTGTCCTTATTCACACCAGTAACCTACTGTGATAATGCCCCTTTTATAGGTGAGGGAGCCAAAGGCAGAATTTGGGTGACTTGCCTAAGGACACTCTGGGCAGTCAGTGAGCAGGGTTAGAGTCACTTGAGGGGCAGGAGGGTCTGCTGCCAGTCTGAAATGGGACTCTCTGCTGGGGGGCTCTGACCCAGCTTTCTGGGCAGGAGACAGGCCCTAAAGTTTGGGAGAAACTGGTTGGGAACCAGGGATCCACTGCACCCTCCCCCCGCCCACCCAGAGTTGAATAGCAGGTTTCCCACAGCGACTGTGGTAGATTTCAGAATGACTTTGTCTGAGGCTGAAGTGAATCAGTCATCACAACCACCACTTTCCATTTTCTCACTGGGGGAGGGGAAGGCTGCAGGTTTATAGTTATCAGCCTTGTGTAGATTTCTGCTCCCATACTGCCACGGGGGGTCCCCATATTGCCACTGGGGTCCCTACAAAACTTAGGCTTCTACTTCAACCTGCAGCTTTCAAATTTTGACTTGGGACTACCTCTCCCCATCTTTCTGGCATCCTTTTCTTTGGGCCCTGGGTTTGCACAGCCCCAGTATCTCCAGCTGTAAAATAGGCCCAGCCACCTGGTCTCCTCAGAAACCAGAGACTTGGCCTTCAGACCCTGGGTCAGTCTCATTGGGCTCCTCCCCATCCCAGGCCCATACCTTGCTTCTGGCTGATGTCGGCAGGCGCAGGTGTGGGGTGTGGGCTGCTGAAATGTTCGTAGAGAGGAGAGAGTTGGGGGACGCCGTGAGGGGGCTGACTGGCCTTGTTGTGCTGAAAAATGAGAAGGTGGGGGTGAATGTGGAAGAATAGGAAGAGAGGTATAAAACTGGGGCTTTGGGGATGCAGGAAGGCAGAGCCACAATTAGCTGTCTATGGGTAGCCCAGCTGTGAAAGCAAAGGAGGGTGGTGGTCAAAGACCATAGGCCTCAGAGAAGGAGGACCATTTGAGCTACTCAGTCACAGTGGTTCTGCCCTCCTGACCATTAGACATTAAACCCCCAGACTCTGCTCAGACAGTCCCATCTGCTAGAGACTTTGTTAAATCACAGAAGGCACGGCTTCCCTACCTGGGCTCCTAGTCTCATAGATTTCCCCAGTTACTCTGAGACCTAATAGCTTGTCTCTGGAGTGCTCACAGCCTGCAACCTTTGGCAGCAGGACATGGTCTGAAGTGCTGGCCTGCCCCAGGACAGTCTCTTTTTCCTCCTCCTCCAGACCCCTCAGACTGGGGGTCCTGAATCTGAACCTCTGTCTTACCTCAGACCTAACAGAATTTACTGCCACATGGATGGGCCCCCTCAGCACCCTAACTCAGGGGAGGTGAGGCCTGGCTCTCTCTAGGACCAACCAGCCAACCCCCACACTTCCTGTTTCCCCGGCACCACAGGACTCTTACTTTTCACGCTTGTTGCAGGGCTTTGTCATGAGATGACTCAGTCAGCAGGCTGGGAAGGGAGCTCCCTACTTGACCCCCAGGGAGTCGCTGCTCAGAGCCAAGGCCCAGTTCTGCACCCCTCAGCCCATGCCAGGCCCTGGAGGCATCATACCACAGAAACTTGGCTTCCAACTCTAAAAAGTCCATCTGTGGAGGTGCTGCTGGCTGGGAGCACAGATGAGTGACCTCTGACCCAAGGCACGGAAGAAACAGAAATCTTTGGGGCAGGACAGCAAGAAATTAGCCAGACTGCTTAGTACCTCTGGGCTTCAGTTTTTCCCCCTTGAGTATTGGGGTTAGTGATTCTTTTAGCACCAGGTTTGGGGAAGACAAGGATAGCTCATTTTGAGAAAGCCTGGCACAGTGACTTGGCACTGGCTGTTGGGGGCCTTAGGAGGAAGCTGGAGGGAAGACTGGGTGTGAGCCCTCCTATAGCCAAGGCATGAGGCTTGGGAAGGGGCAGAGACTCCCACACCATCAGCAGTAGCCTCTGCTGTCACTGTTTCCCACTCTTGCCTCTGGGGGAGCCTGAGGCCAGGCTTCAAATCTGCAACCCTTCCCCTCAGATGTTGGACAAAGTGTTGACACAGCCACCTGTTGGTTTGTGGTTGGTCCCTCTGCCCACCAGGAGGAGACTTACCTGAGTGACCAAACTTTATGTTCTGAGGCAGATGGTGTTAATGTCTCAGTAGGGTTGGGGTGCTCCTTCCAGGCTGGCATGGATTTGACACTATAGCCCCTTTCTGAACCCTCATTTAGCAGCCTGGGGCAAGGCAGGGAAGTGTTCCCTCTGTCAGAGAGGGCCTTCTACTGTGAACTCAGAGAAGAGACAGGCAGACCTCATTCAATCCTGACTCTGACATGACTTACTATGTGGCCTTAGAGAAGTTACTAGTGTCTCTGAGCATCCCTTTCCTCTGTAAAATGGAGATGATCACAGAGAGGCTGTGAAGATAGACATCTAAGAGCTCAGTTAAGTGCCAGGTACTGAGGAAGGGGCATGTAGGAAGCCCCACATTCACCCTGAAGAACCACAGTAGATGAGGAGCAAACCCTGAGAAATGTCACTTAGTATACTTCCCCAGGTGCCCGAATGACAGGCCTCACATTCTAGTCTGATAATGTAAAAGGGGTTTGCTTGGGGGATGGCAGGCAAGCCTTGCAACCCAACTGACAGCAGGGGGCTGACAGAGCCATGTCCCCTGGCCCTGGGTGCTGTGCTTTTCCTATTGTGCTTACAGAGGGAAGCCCCAGGCTGCTTCCATGGCCAGGCTTCCTGGGTGAGCTGAGAGGCTTATGCTACTTTTTTCTTTATCCCAGGCACTGACCCCAGACACAACTGTGGCAGACTGGGAGTGTATATGGGAAACAAGGGTGGGGTGAGGGGAGTGGTGGAATGCAGGATCCTTAGGCCCAAGAGTAGCCGGCAAGGGAAGACAGTGGGCCAGGGCCAGGGCAGCTGTGTGTGTGTGGGTGGTGGTGGTGGGTGTTGTGTGGATGTGTGTGCATCCCATATGTATTGAGTACCTGCCACATGCCAGGCACTGTACCACACACTTTGCAAGCCCCATCTCATTCCCACCAGGTACAAGCAGGCTGTCATTTCTCCCATCTGTTAACTCCCCCAGCTACCATCTCTTGTCTTGCTGCCCTACACAGCAGAGGTGTTCACTTTCACTGCTTCTGGTTCTTAGCTTTCATTCTCCCCTCTACGCAATCCAGACAGTCTCTTGCTCTATCAGTTCACCAGTCAACTCATGTCCAGGTCCCCAGTGACTTCCACATTGCTGACACAACTGATTTCTCCCTCTGCCTCAATATAGTGTCTTCACTTAGGTTTCAGAGTTTTTAGAAGGAAAACTTACCTTGTTCTCTTCCAACCTCCAACCTCACTGCCACTTCTTAGCCTTGTTTCTGGCTCCCTATCCTCTTCCTTAGGAGCTCTGGTAGCATAATGCCTAAGGCACTTGACTGCTAACCAGAAGGCTGGCGGTTCAAACCCACCAGCCACTCCTCGGAAGGAAGGCTGGGCAATCCTACTTCTGTAGTGATGCCGCCTCGGAAATCCAAGGAGGGGTCGCCATGAGTCAGGTCTGACTTGACGGCATATAACAACAACAACAATCCTCTTCCTTGCCTGAGCAGAGACTGGCCCTCTGTTCTACCTACCCTCACCCCTAGGGTGCTCTCACCCAAGCTCATGGCTCTTAACGTCCTCATCTGACGGCTCCACATTGCCATCTCCAGCCCCCACTTCTAGGAATGCTACTCTCCAAATGCCTACTTAATAACACTGGTTGGAGGTCCAACATGCCATCCAAAGTCAAAATGCCCAAATCAGAACTCTTGGCTTCCTGCCCCAAACCTCCCTCTCCATCTTTCCCACCTCGGTTAATGCCAACTCCATCTTTCCAGTTGCTCAGGATAAGAACTGTGAGTCATCCTTGTCTCACACCCCACATCCAATGTGTCTGCAAATCTTAATGGCTCTACCTTCAAAATATATCTAGAACTCAATGGCTTCTTACTTCCTCCATACGTCCTACCCAATCCAAGCCACTGTCATATCTCACTGGGCCTCTTCACTGGACCCAATTTTCTCCGGCCCCTTCAGTCCCCTCTAGCAGCCACATGAATTGACTGTGCCATTTCTCAGTCTCAAGCCTCCAGCAGCCTCCCATTACATTTTAAGTGTTTTTAACTCTTTACCTGGGGCTGAACACCCTGTGTGACCAGGCCCCCTTCCCTCTCCAACCTTATCTTCTCTCCCCCTTGCTCATTAAGCCCAGGATTTCCCTTGGGTGATTTAGCCTCCAGCATCCTTCTCCATTGACTGCAGTGGTAGTTTTCTGAATGGCCAGTGTGAAGTAGATGGGCAGCTCAGCTCTAGCCTCGCTGACTTTTCCCTTCTGCAAGTTTGTTTGTGCCGTTGGACCATTCCCTCTGCCTGGACTGCTTCTCTCCCAGACCTGTATATGGCATCCTCATTTAAATTTCAGCTCAAATGATACTTTCTAGAAGCATTCCCCAACTACCTGAGCTAGCTAACTGGCCACTTGTTAAGGGGCTTAACAAGTACTTGTTGAATGAATGAATGAATCTCACAGCCTTGAGATCAGTACTATTGTCCCCATTTTACAGCTGAGAAAACTAAAGCCCAGAGAAGTAACATGGCTTGGAAACAAGTGTGTTTGAGGCAGTCCCTTCTCAGGAACTCTTGATAGTGGGTGTATCCTTGCCACTATCACTTCCCGTCTGGTGTCCCTGGAGTTCACCTCTGTACTACAGAGAACACTGGACTTAAAAGTTAGATAGACATGGCTTCTGGTTCATTCAAGCCTGTTTCCTCCTCTATAAAATAAGTTAACAATCCCCTTGGCCTAGGGGCTTTAAGTGGCTCTGTTTCACTGTAGGGCAGTCTCAGTTCTTCTCCGGGTTTCATTGGTCACAGAAGCAAAACTCCCGCTTTATCTTAAGAGTTTTAAGGAGCAGGAGCCAAAGGCCTATGATGGTAGGGAAGCTTCCTGGACAGCATCAGGTCTGACAAGGCCCTGTGGCATTTGAGGGCAGGGAGACTGAACCTTAAGGTCCATTCCCACAGGAACAAAGGACCCTGAAGGAAGCCATTCTACCATTTTTCACATGGAGCCTGGTCCAGTAGGTGGAATGAACACACTCCACAAATGCCTTCATGGCCAGGAGCTTCAAATCTAAGTTTCTACTTCCGAGAAGGCCTTGCCATCCAGCCCTGGCTCCTGGCTCTTTGGCTCATAGGCCTGGCTGGTGGAGTGGGCAAGCCTTAGGAACAGGGCTAGCGTCCAAGATGCCAGTCTAGGAAGAGAGTCTCATAGTCTCCACTCAGAGTTGAAGGTTCTGCCCCATAACAGGTTTCTCAGTAAACCACTCCTTTCTGGGGAGGGCCAGCTTTGCCTAGGAAGCCCTAGAGAGCCCTCCTCCCTAAGGGAGGAACAGGGCTGACTTTCTTTGGCCATGCTGGGACTGGCTCAGGTCCAGCTTTCCTATCTAAGGCCTACCTCCAGCACAGCTCAAGCTGGGCCTAGGAAACCTCAGAGAACCCAGCTTACAGCCACTTGCCTGGTACATATGCATGTGATGAGCTGGAAGAGGGAGCCGGGTGGAGAGGAGGGAAGCTGCCTGGTGGGCAGCGGCCTCGTCCTATCCACCAGCCTCCCTGGGAACTGGGAAAAAGCCTCATTAAACAGAAGTCACCCGCCAAACCACAGGAGAAGTGTTGGGTGGGCAGGGGTGGGACAAAGAGCCCGCCAGCAGCTGGAGGCCCTGTGGTGGCCAGGGCTCCAGGGCAGGGCACTGAGAG